ATAATATCAGGTTTCGACATGACACCGGAAGCAGCGCTGACTAAACTCGCTTACGTGTTATCGAAGACAGAATGGGATTTACAAACGAAGCTGGAAATGATGCAAACGAACCTGCGAGGGGAATTGACCGCTGGACGACCCCCCCGTCACGAAGATCTAGATCTCGTCGAGGCGGTTGCAAGATCCCTCCGGCTCTCCTCGACGGCCGAACGCCAGGAGTTAGGATCGATTCTGTTCCCTGCGATGTTAAACGCTGCCGTGCTGAGCCGCGATATCGTGAAACTCGAGATCTTGAAAGGATACGTACGTATGCACTGTGTAATTAAGTCGTGTGTTCCCTTGCACGGCACGGAATTTTCTCTGCTTTAGGGTGCCGACATATCGCAACAAAATGCAGATGGTCGTACGGCTTTGCACATTGCTTGCTGCGAAGGTGACTTGAACATTGTCCGCTGCCTTTTGCGAATGGGCGCCAATGTTCACATTAAAGATCGATTCAATCGTACGCCTCTTATCGACGCGATAGAGTTCGATCATCACGAGGTATAATCATACACACATATGCTCACCTACGTTCCATTCTCGCCTTACTGTTCCTATTTTACGATTTTCCAGGCCATTAAGATCCTAATGCAGTGCGGCGCACATCTGCACGGCAGCGCATATGCAATAGGGGAGAAAATGTGCGCCGCAGCGGCTGTCGGCAACTTGAAACGTTTGAAATCATACCAACTGGCGAACGCGGACCTTTCGCAAAAGGATTATTCCGGCAGGACACCGTTGCATTTCGCGGCGCTGCGCAACAAGACGCAAGTCCTCGAGTTCCTGCTGGATCACAACGTGGAGGCGCAATGCCTCGACAAGACAAATCAATCGCCGCACGATCTCGCGAGAGTGGCGGGTTCCGCGGACGCGGCGAAGATTCTGTCACCGGCCAGTTGCCCGAACTCTGCGCTAATTACAGAGGAAACATCAAGATGAAAGTGAAAGAAAGTAGCGGAATTTCTATGCGCGAGAGATATAGCGCATAAGAACAGAAAAGAGAAATGAAAATAAAACCTGTTGTGTGTTGAGCGCAACAATCTAAACATGGGCACGTCTATTCTTGTATTGTATTCTCGTTCTAGTTGAAATAATATGATTGCGGCAGACCACGTAAATACGTTAATTCGTCGCAGAACATTGTCGTTGGGCGTTTCATACGATAGTTGACGAAAAGTGAAAGTCCAAAGTGACGGTGATTATGCCTGGATCATGAAGCATGTGCACGCGAAGATATTTTCATAGCACGCGAGTTAGAATAATAACATCGTCTCCTCGGGCACAGGTTTGAAAGTGTGAAAAGAGGAAAAAACAAAAAAAAACCAACGTAGAATTTATTCATCTCTTATATCAGCACGCGTGTTATTACATCACAGTATCCCAAACTCGCTCATCATAGTTTTCAACAGTTTCGGCGTTATTAAACAATCCTTGTAGATGCGAGCGCAATCATGACTTCCCTTTCGCCCGGTGATCACAGCATCTTCAATGATCGTGCCATTTGTGACATCCTTGAACCAGCTATGACTGTTTGCAATTCGATAATTAGTTTAATGGCCATTGAAACGTTTCTCCTCTCGCAACATTTTAACGTTATTTCTGAATATTTATTTACCTCGACAATCCGTCGATTATTTTATCCGTGCTCGTTGGATTCTCCGAGTGCGCGGCCACTGAAACCATCGAACAGACAATACGTTGCATGCATGGGGCCACGTAATCGTTGTTAAACATCATTTCGTTGATGGTGTTCCCCATTTGCGACCATTGCGTACCACCATTATCCACCGAGCCTAACATCGGGCACGTGATAGATTAAATTACAGAACACCTAATAGAAATGGCTAATTTACTTACGGTAGTTGTATTGCTGATGCGTTTTTGAGAACAGTGGCGAGATTACGCCCAACAGGCTGACTATTAATCCAACAATTCCAAGGGATTTCGTGTTAATGTTGAACAATGCTGGAACCTCGCCGTTCTCTCCTACCTTGTACTCGAGTGGTATCGAAATGAATGGGATCGATACATCCCAGTCAATCTGTAAACAGATTCCATGTAGCTCGAGAGATGTAAAAGTTATTATTCGTCTCTGTTCGACAAACTCTTACGCGAAGCAGCTCGTGCTCTGGATTAAAGGAGATCAGCCCGCCAGTTGGATATTTCCCAAACAGCTTGCTCTCAGCCCTCGAAGTTCTCGCTCTTCCAGTAACACTGTCTTTCGATTCGGAAAGATGCAGCAAACAACACAGAGTTAATAACGTGGCAGAGTGTTTGAACAGAGAGTTCCTCGTGATCTTCATTTCTCTTCGCCGGAAAGGAAAGTCGATCTGTCGTAAGAACTGGTTTCCGCACAAGTAATTGCACAAGTAAATTCGAGCAAATTATTGGCAACAGGACAGGCTTGGTTTTGTACTTACGGCAGATATGGTAACCAGCAAATCGCCTAATTGCAGCGAACACAGGAACACGTGTGACGAATGCTTGTTCGTTGCTGGCAGTTTTTGTACACAAGCCAGCCCACTCTCGTCAACTAGGAAATTCTGTTTTCACGGAGCGGAATTAACGAACCCAACGAGAGAGAGAAAGAGAATGCTGGTTAAATTACTGTCACGAAACGGCACTGTCGCCACAGCTGTTATGCTGGTCATCGTCACGCCTAATTCCGCATATTCGCGCCGAAAGATAGCCGGCAAGGCTTTCGCAATTACGTATGCCCTCCTCGCGTTTTCATTGTTTTCGCAAAAAGTAGTCTAACTGGAGACTCTAACTCTTTCACTTTTCCCCGCCGAACGTTCAAAGCGTTAAATTTGCGCTGAGAGAGATGTTATCGATCGACCGATCTCTTCTCGCCTAGCTCATTTAGATTAAGATGATAAATTGATCGAGACTCGATAACACTGATTGAGAGACATTGCACGATCTTTTTTTCTTTTCTTTTTTTTTCTTTCTTTTTTTTTTTTTTTTTTCTTTTAATTCGTATGCGCACTCGTACGCGAGATTTGTCAGTGCACGCATACGAGCGCAATTCGACTTTCGTGAATTTTCCAGAGCAACCTGCAGAACGAATTCCTTGTCTCGAAGCCAGGCGGACGACGAATGCATATGGCATGTCAATTTCGTGGCATTTCCGCCGTTTCTTTTTTCTTCTTTTTTTTTCTTCTTCTTCTTCTTCTTCTTCCCTTTTAATAAATATTTCTTTCCAATTTCACGATTATTGCAATTATCAGTCGTTGTCGCGAGTTTCGATTGAAACCAAATAACAACAAGGATGAAAAGTGTTGAGAGTAAATAGATCTTATCTATTATGATAATTTGATAAATAACGCATTTTTTTTTTTT